AGAGAGAGAGAGAGAGAGAGAGAGAGAGAGAGAGAGAGAGAGAGAGAAAATGACAAGCCTTAATTAAGATTGCAATATTCTATCGTCATAAGCCTATGGCTGTACAAAACTGTTGATGCATCAATTCCAAGCTAGTGTGTGCGCCGACAGATAGCCAATCAAATTTGAAATGACGCAATAAAGGAACTACGGGCTGTCAGCCCCACTAAACATCAAATTTGCGTGATCTACATTCAATGGAGACACACTCTCAGCATGCGTATTCAGACTTTCCCACAAACAATACACATTGCATTGTGAGAGAGGGGCTAGCCCCACACAGCCGCTGTATGCCACACAGGCCACCATACTGTGGACACCATAAACCAGGAGAACGCAGTCTCAAGCAGCAACATGCTGGGTAACATGATGACAACATTAAATCCCAACACAAATTATATGCACTTTAGGAAGATGCTATATTCATAGATATTACATTATAGTAGAAAGTAAGCTTTGAGAATTCATAATAACATAATTATGCACAGTTCACTCTGCCTGCCCCTAATGACCAGTCGCCACTTGACATAGGATAGGCCAGTGTGAATCATCCCATGAAGGCTTTGTGGGAAGAAAGAAAAAAAAAAAAAGAGAACATATTCCTTTTCATAGGATCTGGTGCTGAGTATACCTGTAAAATCACTATCTGTGCCAGCTTGCTCATGCCAGAGTCTCAAAGTCTTTGCACCTGGCTGTGTTTCAGCATTGCGTAACACACTTTCACAGAGAAAACAAGCTGATGTGGAAACATCAGCAGTCTTCTCCCTTTCAAAAACCGATACATATAGAAAGAATGAAAGACAGAAAGAAAAGAGGTGAATTGCTCTGGTAAGTTCTCACAACTTTCACCCTATATTTCACAGAGCACTAAAATGTATCTCACACAGTTGTATGGAGTGTATGGTTCAGGCTGGTAACATTAATGGCCTGTTTTGTTTTACGTATGAAACACCTGAGGGAAGAGCTCGTACCATGTGCCGGCCATGTGCGTGTGTGAAAACAGCAGCTTTTACTGTGAAGCTGCAGTGAATCCAAATAACAGACAGCTCAACATCAGCATATTCAATACACCGACATTGAAGAACTTGGCGATTCCTATCCATTTACAATCATTCTTGGAAAATTCCACAGAGTGGATCCAAGAGCCAGTTTTACACGAGTAAATCACAAAGTGTGGGGCAGTGAACAAACCACGCATACAGTAATATCGATAACATTACAGACACACACACAGACACTTCATTAAATACTCGTTAAATACTCTGTCAAACACGTTGCGCAATACTTATTTCAACTGTATGGTCGACATACACACATAATACAACAAGCTGATATGGACAGTAGAGGTATCTGAAAATGGAAATCATATGGAGCTTGCAACAACTCAAACCTTTGAAAGTCAACACAGTGACATACACACATGCACACACATAAGGCACAAAAAAAAGGTATAGACAATTTATTATTCAATGTGTATTTTCTGGAAAGGAGGTAGGCACCTCCATCTCTTCATGCAGATGTTCATTCTAACGACCCAACTCACTGAGCCATATTTTGTTTTTGCCGCTGAAACAGTCTGCAAAAAAACAAAAAAAACAAGTAAAAACACATCTCTGACAGGAATGTTTTTTTTTTTTTATAACACACCTCTTTTTCATACAGGTGTCTCTACCACTGTCTTCTAGCTCACCTGCAAGCAGACACATCTATGCACATACAGTGCAAGGCTGTACGTATTTGGACAGCGATACAGTTACTAATGCTTTTGGCTCCAGCACACTGGATTAGAAATTAAACATCGACAATGTGGTTAAAGTGCTGACTTTGATCTGTAAAGCTGCTTTAGGGTGATCACATGATCCACATTGGATAACCACAGGTTGGGCGTACGATCCCAACATGATTCACCCAACACAAGAGTTATAAAGCTGAAATCAGCACTTTACCTTCATAAGCAGTGTTGTATTTCATATCCTGCGCGGGAGTACCAACCCAAAACATTAAAGAACACTAACGTTCACACCCAAATATAAACTGCATTGTTATCTGTGTGGCAGGTCTACAACAAAACATAAGAAGTAAAGCTAATGTTCTTACGATGTAGTTTACACACAGTTCAATGCCAATTATTTTGGAAGCTAAAGAATTTGTTTGCAACAAAAAAAAAAGAAAGAGAGAAAGAAAATAACTTCTCATCAGGCATGTGGATGTGGTTTAGAAGGGTGTGGGGTGCCATGTCATTTTAGGGTGCTGTGTTTTGTTCATTAAACTTTGTGCCCTCTCATTAGGATAAACACTACCAGCAGGGCAGACGGGGTGTCAGCTACAGGTTTGGTGCACAAAAATGTCCATTAAAAGCACATATAAGCAGGTTTACATGGACATTCATTCCTTCTGGCTGTGTTTTGTCACATATCTGCTCATTATTGTTAAAATGAAGGAGAGATTAAATGTACCTACCCAACAACAACACCACCTCGGCCTCTCCCAAAAAACAGTAAAACAGCCTTTGGTTCTCCGTTGTAAACAGACAACTCCTGCTGGGAAGTTTCTGTGCCACAGGGAAGGCCATGTTCTCTAGAAGCCTAATCACCGTCAACATCAACATAACGTTTCTGTGATTACTGAAGACCACAGACGGTCTGAAGTAATTACTATAAATGGTGCTGTAGTCAGCAACCATTCCCTTTCCCCCTCACACATTAAACTATGGAGGAGGGCTGGCTGATGTACACTAAACATTGAAAAACATACGCTTTAGATAATACATCATGTCACTATGTGGTCATAAAAAGCACAAGCCAATTGTATATACTGTTTATATATCCCATTTTATTAGCTATTTCACATTGTAAAATACTTTTTAGTTTAAAAAAAAACGAACATTTACCTCAAATGAATGGTCCACCAGGTTGACACATACAAACACAAACGGTCAATGATAGTTGATAAAAGAATCTCCAGTCAAAAGCTGGTTCTGCAGCTTTCAACCTCATCATCTTCACAGTGAACACAGACTGATGGAGAGGTTTAAACAGGTTTAAACAGGCCCATGTCAACTGTGCAAACTTCATCTGCTGATGAAGAATGTGTGGCGAGGGTTAAAAAGCACAGGTGGACCTTCAGTGGAGATTGTTTCGTCAACTGCTGTTTCCAAGGCTGAGAATGAACTGCCAAGCTCAAATCAATGTTATAAGCAAGGTCTCTTTTCACAATTCAAATGAATAAATGTTAATGTAACAGTACTGAATTATACCGTGTCAGACTTTTGACATTTGCTACGTGCACAGATTTCCTTCTGAAACATATTAACAACTTACATCTAACAGTGTTTCTTGCAACACACCACCACCACAAAGTTGCGAAACATCTGTAATTATATTTTCCTCAAATAATCCCAATATTAAGGGTGTGTCTCAGGAGCCAAGGTGTGTTTGGATTTGTTGTTTGGCATGTTAAGACAAGTAAATGGGTAATGGGTCATCCCACAGCTCATCCCACAGCTCAACATTAAACTGGGGCTAGATGTTCAGATCTTCATATAGGCCGAGGTATATTTATTAAAAAGAAAAAAAAAAAAGAAAAAAAAAAAAAAAAAATGATTAGTTCCCCAAGTATTTCTCCAACTAAAGCCCTAAGCTATTGTCTACTTTGCCCTTGAATTGTACTTAAAGTAAGCCTAGAAAAATATGGCTGAATGCTTTAACATGCCTTTAACAGCCCTTTGATCCAACAAGAAATCCCTTTAAACTCAAACACCAGAAGACAAGACTTTTAAAAGCTTATAGTCCAGCTCACACTTACACACTTTGTTCTACTCTGGCAGCTTCACAACAGCTTTTATCTTCCTGTGGTAGCTAAGTCAAACAGAAACGGTCTGATTCTGATCCATGAGCTCTACATTTTATGAAAACCACACAGTTTGCCTGGTGTCATTTTGACAGCAACAGACAGCAGGTAACCTTTTATTTTGCCTTTTGTTTTTCTCCCCTTCAGATAGATTCAGAACACAACACACATACTTGAACCTTGCACAAGCAACCATGCCGTGTCCAGAAATGCCTAAACAGCACAACCTTCAGGCCTCGTACAGTGGAGTAACAGTGCCGTCCTTCCACTCGATCAGGATTTCTCCTCGCTGTAAAGTGGGGGAGGAATGCGGGAGGTGCATGGCATGCTCTGTCAGCGGGGCTCTTTCACTGGACACCGGGGACCCAGGAGCGCTCACCTCGGGCCTCGGAGTGTATGACTTCAAAACACACACCACCTTCTTCCTTCTGGCAGAGTTAGACAGAAAAGGACTAAAGGTGGGTGGAGGTACAACAGTTTGCTTTGTACCAAAGCTCTTTGAAATGTTTTGCCCCAATGTTTCCTTCATTTTTTCTACGTGCTTTAAAAAAATTTATAAAAATCAAAGCAGACTTTTATTGAACGTGGGTCTCCCAAATTCTATATAAAATGCACGTTGAAGACCCACATTCAATACAAATCTGAGCAGGGTGTCAGCTGCGCATTAGATAGACTTGTTATGTACTTGAGAGCCTACTGTATTGTTTCATGTTATTGAGTTTAAATCAATGTATTACTCTGAAATGTGAAATGCCCGTCACACACAGAGACCAAAGCGATGTCTCAAAATCTCTCGCTTCTCCAGATTCAGACTCAAGAAACTAAAATGTATCCAATTTACAAAGACAAAACTAAATAAAACAAGCAAATCTATAGCTGGTACCAGTACAATTGAGTCTACTTTACCATATAAATGATTAATTGATAAGTAAATTGATAATACATTTATGTAATGTTGGTCAACTAATCTTTCCAAAAGTAAATCTATGAATACATTAAAAAAATATATATGTTCTTTTCTGTGTATTGTGTGTGTGTTTAGCACTCACCTGTTGGAGTAAACATTGAGGATAAGAATCACAGTCCCCAGAACCAGAGCCAACGAGCTAAGTACCAGCATGGTTATCTTCCAGCCCATCCCTGTACACATGCACACAGACAAAGCGACACATCATTCATTTTACACAACCCACATTTGAACTCATATTTACCTCTTTCTAAGTTGTGATTCTTGTTCAAGCACTTGTTACACTTCTGTCAAAGACTCTGAACCTTCAAATAAATGCCCATTGAAACTGTTGTTGCAAACATTGCAACAACAGTTTCACATTCACCCATCTCCACCTAGTGGTGGAAAGGTAAATACATCTTCACTGAATAACTGACAGAGCTGTTCAGACTCCTTTAGTATTTTGGAATTAAATATTTCCACTTAAAAAAAAAATGGACATACAGAAGTTAGATTATTGAGTTCAGTCTACCAAACTTACCATAGTCCATACTGAAGAAAACCATGGTGGGATCTGAAGGGGCTTTGGTGCTCGGGGACAGAAGAGGCACATCCATCACAGGATATGTTTGTGTGACTTCAACTGCCATCATACCGTCAACTAGAAGTAGAAAAAGAAAGGAACAACTCAACTAGAAGCAATGACCAACTCCAAAACCTCACGGGTCTGATTTATTTGCCCTTCTGATGAAGGAAGTGATAGTTGTTTGTCCATCTTTAGCAGTAAGATGGAAATCAGTACAAACAGGACCAGCCTGATATAAACACAGCACGAGTCAGCATTGCGGGGATGCTGATTCCCAGAGTGGTTGGCTGGCTTCCCGGAGGAGGAAAATATTGATTTGTCAAAAGTGCACTTAAATAAATTCAATCATCACGATAAAAGCAGGCATATTGTAATCTAATCTAACATCATGTGACCAACATCTAATATATCACATGCACTTTTGAAACGCGTGAGCATTTTGGGTTTTGTATATTTTAGCCCACAGACTACAGTTTGCACACATCAATATTTAATGCAAATCATTGTGCAATAAATGTCAGTTTTGCTGTGGTGTGAACAACTTGCAAAGGTTTCAAAATACGCTTGACTAAAGTAACACATCACAATGGGAAGAGGGATGTCCTGTAGAGACTGCCTGTCGATGCATTTAAAGAAATCAAAACATTCAAGCTTTGAAGATCAGCAATCTTTTCCATGCCCGACAAATTCATTCATTATTCTTTTCATGATGTCCACGTTTGCTTGTTTGTTCTTGTTTTCTAACAAAATAGCTTGTTGAAGAAATGCTTTTTTGCTTTAATGCGTAGATTTCAGCAGGTCCATGAATGCACCAACACCTTGAGTTTTGAAAATGGTTCCTGCTGGCAACCACATGACAACAAAACTATAATCTATGGTTATTTTTTTTTCTAATTCAGGTCTACCATAATATTAACAAAGTATACTTCACTAGCATGACCTGATCCAACTATCTGACTGGAAAATAGGAAATCAATCTAAAAACTCATGTGATTGAAATATGGTTCACAATAATGTCAAGTATTTACACTGTTGGCGACAACATTTGTAATTTAGGGGGGGGGGGGGTATAACCTCGCAAAGCCACTGGCCGGTCCTTAAAGGAAATTTATGTTGCTTTTATTAGTCACATACTGTGGGAAGATTTAGTAAACTACTGCTAGTGAGAAACTTTTAAAGGTCCTTACATGATTCAGCCCTTATATCAGAGACGGCACTTGGAAAAATCCCAGGTTCCAACGATTTCCCCAGATTGTGGTGAGGTTGGTGTTGGTTGTCTCTCCCATTGCACAGTGTCTGGTTGCCAAGCGTCCGCCACCTGCTGCCAGGCTTGGAAAGAACATTAGACATTTTATACTCTTTTTAAGTAAAACAAATATGCTACAATATGCTTCTCCCCCCCTAGTTTTTATATACGTTTAAGTAATCTGATTAAAGGTACAATCAGAGAAAAACCTTCCGTTCCTCTAAAATATTATTACCTGCTTGTGTTCCTTCGAAAGGAAGACCAAAGTGGATTCTTGTGCTGCACTAAGGTGCAGCCCCCTCCCTACCAAAGTGAGGTGGCCCTTCTTGGAACAGAACCATGCCTGGCTGCTTGCCTCTCTGCCTGTATCCACCGCTGCCACCCCGGCATCATCAGTGTTGTCACTTTCGGCCCTGAAGATGCAGCGCTGCAGGTGGACGCCTTCATACTGCTCTCTCGGTGCGGTCAGACACTCCCCAGTGTGGTGATTGCTGAGGGCCTGGCTCTCTGGGAGCCAACGCCATTCCTGCAAGGCTGAATGTGGGCTGCAATCACCCAGAGATACTCTGCCTCCCAAAGTCCCTCCATGCACCTGCAGACATTTAGCCAGCAGCTTGTTCTGAATCTTTAAGCCAGACGACTCTGTGGAGGGGACATGGGGGAGAAAAAGGGCATTGTTCGAGCTGTTATAATCCTCTCAGCCATTGTTGTTATTTGAGGAGGGAGCTTCTACAATTAATTACGTTTATTAAAAAGCATGCAAGTCAGAAGAGCAAAGTTTGACAAGTAGCTGGTAAGTGTCCTACAAATCGGCATACAACAGAAATAGAAAAAAAACAATGCATCTTTATCGCAACACAACTTTTTCAATGTACGTAGCCTGGTCTCCCTTTACGCTAATAGCTATTCTGCTGAAAGAGGCCGGATCGGCTACACGGGTTAGGCTTGTTATTTATCAATGTAACGTTAACGGTAGCTTCGACTTGGAAAGGGTCTTTCGGCTAACTTACTAAAGATCCGACGAACAATATGCAGCTATTGGACAGCTAACGTCGAACAACGTTCATCTGAATACGCGAGCGGCCGTTTTCCTTGGCTTCGATGTCGCATGTCTTCTCATCTTTCAAATCTTTAAAACAGCTTTAAAATTACCTTGGAAAATGACGAAGACAAGCAAATAGACACACGGCAGCCTTTTCCCCATGGCGAGGACAGGCACTGATACTTTGGGGGTATCCCGTGGCAGTCCAGCCTGCGTCTATGGAGCAACAAGTGCAAGTGGGCTGGAACTTGGTGGTTCATGCAACCTCCCACTGCGCGTCCGTCAGTGCGATAGATGAATGGAGGATCCGAGCATTCCTCCTCATAACTCTTCATTTGGGACATGTATAGTTCAACATGTAGATTTCCGTTGAAATGCTATTTATTTTTATTGTCCAGGGATCAAAGCGATTGCTGAATATTAGGGATGACTTTGGCTGTTTTCGACTTTCTACTCTCCACCTGTTACTAGGTGGTCACTGTTTACGCTGTGTTCATTTGTTCACAGCTAATACAAGCCATAGACATTCCCTTGTTTACCACTATTACATGCAAGACAATGTGTTAGCAACCAGTGTGCTGCAGCTCCATGGACTACCAATTAGATTTAAAGAGCATAAATCAGTTATAAGGAGAAAACAGTGTTCCAAGCTGAATAGGATAGCCCACTCGTTACTGTGAGAAATGGGACAGCTTTTGGGGCCTGCGTGGTCACGTGATGTTTTTCTCTGTCATGATGCACCGGAAGGTATGTGAAAGACCTTAAACACATTAAACATATTCAGTGGAGTTAAAAATGATTCAAACCGCAGTCTCAAATAACAACATTTATTTTTATTCTGATTATTAACACATTACATTAAATATTGAAATAACAAACATTTCACAGCCAACAAAGATAAGATAAGATAGAATGTATTGTCCCGAAGGAAATTTGTCTTGGAAACATACAATGTCTGCTGTTAAAAAATACAAAAATAGCACAGTGCATACATACAGTACATACACAGACTGCCGCCAGCCAATAAATAAATTGCACACTGCCCATCGTACAACACACATAGTTGAGATAAAAATAAAGAATACAAATCGGCGTTACAGGGGTTAGGCTCTGGCTAGCTTGCCATTTAAGGCTTTTATGGACAGGGAGACAAAGAACTGAAGTTCCCTTTTTGCCTGCACCACTACTGAAAACCCAGGAAAGCCATATCCCATGCACCTGGCCAACTTAGAGCTTGCATATAGAAGAGAACAAGTTGAGGTAAAAGGCATTGCCGTGAATGAATGAAAGTGAAATGACTGAGGGGCACAGATATGTCATTTATACTACATGCAGCAGAAATACAGCATGCAGTTTTTTTACATTTGAAAACAGCAAATACATCACAATATGAATAGCTCAAATGCCCTCATCATCTGTCAGTACTTTTTAAGTCAAGATTATCTGTTCCATTAGAAGCTCAGCTTTTGTGATCTGACCCAGTCCTACCGAGTGTCCTGAGAAGGGGAGAAAGGGGACATATACGGTGGAGGTTCTTGTCCCTGTTGAAACAGAGGAGGAGCAGTAGGGGCTTGAGGCTGCACTGAGGATGACGCTGCAGTTGGAAACCCGTATGGAGCAGCCTGTTGAGGCCACTGATTATTATATCCACTTGATATGTTTGCATATTGAGTGGGATCTGGTGCTGGGTAGCCATAAGCACCTGAACCTGAAGGTACAGGATAAGGTCCAATCGGGAAGGCGGGGGGAGGGAAGTCGCTGTAACTTGGGGCCCCAACAGCCGCAGCTGGGTAAGGACCCCCAGCCCCAGCTGGGTAAGGCCCCACAGCTCCACCAGGCTGAAGGGCAGCCAAACCAGAAGGAACTATGACCAGGGGAAACACCACCTCTGGGTCAACAGCAAAACTGATGTCCAAATACACCTGGGAAAGACAAACATATGAAACTACTGTTTATTTATATTAATACTACAAGTATTAATTACCGTATTTTCCGCACTATAAGGCGCACTTAAAAGCCTTTAATTTTCTCAAAAAATGACAGTGCGCCTTGTAATCCGGAGCGCCTTATATATGGATCAATTGGTTAATTGGTTGATCTATACTGGTTGTACATGGCGCTCTGTCAAAATGTTTCAGTACGACTGGTAAACTACAAAGCCGCACCGCTTGCAGCATTACGGCTACCGTAGTCAGGGGCGTCGCCGAAGTAATAGCGGTAAACACCGGTACTGTGCTTACTCCTAGTCCAACACCACTTGTGTGTATAAAGACCCCAAAATGGCACCTTTCAAGAGACACGCTTACGACGCTGAGTTCTATACGTTTTATACGTAAGTTGAACAATTTCGAGAGTTACTATATTGTGAATGCACTAACGTTTGATTTAGTGGTATCAGACTGTTTCTTTTACGTGTTCACTGAATCAGGGAAAAGTTCCCCTCTACGTTTAAGTTACCGTATTGTGAATGAAATCAAAAATCAATAAAGTTTGACTGAATGATTTATCTGACTGTTTTGTTGACATTCCCTTTAGCACAGCTCCATCTAGTGGATGCATAACGCAACCCCTGTCAAACGTTTGACTGTAGTAGCTTCTATTCTATGCGCCTTATAATCCGGTGCGCCCTATATATAAAAACAGTTCTAAAATAGGCCATTCATTGAAGGTGCGCCTTATAATCCAGTGCGCCTTATAGTGCGGAAAATACGGTAAATTGACCGTGCCGTCTGATATTTTACTGTTTGTACTGTAATCATATACGCTGTTGTGTGGTTATGGTGTTTAATATTTCTAACAGTTGTTGAAGCGTGGGATTTAAGACAAGAATAGTCTGTGCAACAATTACATAACTGCCAATATTTGCAAACAAATGCAAATACTCAATTTCTCTGTTGATGTGACATCACTATTACATTATTACATACCTTAAAGTAATAGTCAACTGTGAGGATTTCACAATTATGGAGAGTTGGGATGACATCGGCAGGAACCGTTAACTGGCAGGAGACGGATTCCTCTGAATTCGGTGCAATTATCTCCCCAACCATTTTGCACAGACTTTGGTCACTGATATTAGTGGAGGCATTGGCACGGTACACTATTTTCTGCTGTAAACTGTATTTGGGCTTCATTTGTTTGGAAGAGGAATTATGGATTTTGGCAACAACAGCCACATTGTCACCTATAAAAAACAAATCATAACATCTGGATATGCACAATTTTTTTTAAATAAAAAATGTCACAACACAATAACAAAATGATGCATTACACGTATACTGTAAGTAAGTATGTAGTAGAGTGACTTTACCTGGAGAGCAAACGTTTGTGTTTATGGTAGCAGACATTTGGACCTGTCCTTCAGAGAAAGTGCTCATCTTTTTATCCACTGAACCAGACTGTGGACACTAGAACAACAAAAACAAACAAAGTTCATATCAATGCAGCTTCTCATACGGCTGAAATTCAAAGTTTAGGAGAAAAAGTTGTCATCTTGCTGTTAAACTGTGGATTATGCCATCCTCGTCGGTTATCACCAAAAAAAAGGGAACTCTTTAACATCACAAAACGAATCCTTCCGGACTAGGTTTAAGAGGGGGGTTGGGCAATACTGAATGCTCTCTCCATTCTCTAATGTAATACTCTCATCACTCACCACCCCACTACTTTTTGCGGATCCCAATTCCTGTTTATTCAAACTACCAGATTATTCTATTTGTTCACATGACACACCCTATCGTTCAAACTCTGTCAGTGCTGTTGACTTCCTCCTATTATATTATATAAGTACAGTACACTGCTGTTATGTTACAATTTTCTCCATGCCAGATGTCATTACACTTTGCTCAGACACATTTAGTATAAAACAGTTTTCATCCCCAAATCTGCATTGTTTCCTTCAGCTCCTCTGTTCCTTTCTTTCGGTTATTGCCAGCTGGATCTTTAGTCATGTGGCTTGATATCTTGGATATCAATTATTTGAGTTAAATTGTAGTATTACAAATTCATAACATGTATCACTGTGGTGTCCCACTCACCATTACTTGGCTAAGGTGGGAAAGGGACTTTGAAACAAATTTGAGCTCTTTTTGTACTGTAGAAGGCATCCGCCAGCTTCTGGACACCTTTGCTTCCAGCATGTAGACAATCTTTCCATGAAGCCCCTTGAAGGATGGCGGCATGTCCCTGTAAGACAAAACCGGTCCATGAATGCAGGTATTTGTAAACACAAACCCAGTAGATCCTGCTAGATGCTAGACATGTACACTTACCCCTGTGGAATTGTAAACCTGAACTTAAACTGATGGTCTCCTTTGGGAAGTACAGTGCCTGCAAAATAACTGAGAATGATGAACACTTCCTGTTGGGACCTGACAGCACTTTATCTGCTCAGTTGGATTTATTAGACCTACTTCAGGTTGTGTTTCAAAATGTATACAAATGAACAATAATATGCGGATAACATTAATTCAAGATAACATAAATCTGTACAGGTGTTAAGATGAGCGAGCGAAGCATAGGGCTAAATATTTCTCAGACATACCTTTCTCATTCTCTGCAACTACGTGCTCTTTGAGTTTCAGGTATCTCCTGTGCGCATTGTACGATTTGCGGTTATCTCCGGTGCCATGAGTCCAGTGCACGCGCGCGTCCCCTTTGGCTTTCACGGTCAGAGCCTTCACTTTGGTTTCTTTTGTCAAACTGAAAGTGATTGTGCCTGCGATAGTATCTCCTTGAGAAAAAGTGTCCTCTTTGTTGAGAGCTTCATAAACCAGATTTAAGTCCTTTATCGGAGACATTTTGGATGTACAGCTGTCAAACGCGTTGGCTTTCCCCACCCACCTGTGTCTACACGGAGCGACGGCTGACTCTCACCTGGATGAGGCTCCGACCGAAGTTTAAGCTCACAAAAAAACGTGAGACAGCAGACTGTTATTAAATGACTGTAAAAGTGAATATTTGTGAAGAGCGCATCTTTTACTTCCTCTGGTTTCACGAGTAGCGAACTCGTTAGTAAATCAAATGAATGGGAAACAAAGTACAACGTGGTTGCTCTGACAACGTATAACGAGAACGGACGGCTCAAGTGACTCAACTAAAATCATAAACCGGCAGCTGGCCAGTCGTAACGACAACAATGGGCGTTGTCACGGATTGTGGACCCGCCTGCTCAGCTCGGCAGCTTCTTGCCGCAGATTTATCACTGCGGTGCCAGCGCCACTGCGGAGGATCTCGGCATTAATGGGAAAACCTCCACTATTGCCTCATGTCAGGCAGTTAAATTACAACATACTTTAAAGCAATCCAGATATCACAACAGCATAATGCACAATAGGCTATTCAGGTTTACACAATTAAGTTGTATAACATTTAGTTTAAGGGATCTTAGTGTTTAAGTGTTGTACTGTTAACAGTGTGTTTATTATTAGGCTATTTGTAGGCCTAATGTCTTTGACAAAATGGAAGAGATCAGGATGGATGACATTATTTGTCAAGACCTGCGCTATCCATGGATCAATCAATGAATCGGGCCCAGGGGCCCCCTGGACCTTCACCTACACAATTTCACTCAAAGAGACTCGCACTAACAAGGAAGAGACTCAAAGTGACCACAAACAAACAAAACAAATATGAAGAGACACAAAGAGCTGCAAAGAGACCGCAAAGAGACAACCCCCCCACCACCACAAAATGACAACAATGAGTCACAGAGAAACCTTCTCTTGCAATTCTTTATTCACATCTACAAGTCAGAGAAAACACTGGCAGTTGGCAAGTATAAAAAAAAATCTGGTTTGCTAAGTATCGTGTAAATTAAATAGACAGAAGTAGTTGTCTGGTGTTAAATTTAGCAGACTGGGAAATATAGAGAAAATGCATATTTTGTTAGTTGATCGTTTTATAAAATAAACATATGAAAAGATTTTTTGATATAGTACTTGTCCAGTTTCTTTCAACTAGCCACAGTGAGGTAGAGAGAACAGGTATAGACTATATAACGTTGAAAAAATGTTCAGTCAAGGACTCTTTGAGTTGAACAAGGCACGTGTACATACACAGGGTATCCGGATGGCTGAGGTTTGAGCAGCCGGACAGAGCTAATTAGCAACAAGAACTGACAGGAAAACAACGTTCCCATATAATGCATAAATCCTATATAATTGTTTGCATGCAAACAGTAAATATCGCACAGAGTGCCTTTTTAGTTTCAAATTCACACTTCAAAATGTAAAACACAAAACATGATCTAGGTGATCAGATTTTACATTTAGATACGTATTAGTATTTCACATCACAATGAAACTGATTCAGTCATTAAGCATACCTTCTATTATTTTGCATCAGATTTGTCAGTAGCAGAAGACGGGAAAAGGAGTGAATATGCTGGAGGAGCTTCATTCGATTGAGACAGAAAGTCTGTGTCCATCATTGGTGCAGAAGACAGCAGGTTGTATGCAGGAGCAGTTGGGGATATGCTAAAGGGTGGAGGACAATGGGATGGGGCAGATGGGGGTGGTTGAAATGTTGGGACAGTAGGCGGAGGGTGAAGCACAGAAGACGACGATGAAGATGAAAATGGAGATTGATAAGGGGAGGCCAGTTGTGGCACTGGGTTATTGTAGCCCCCACTCATGTGTGGCGGGTGAGCAGGGTACACAGCTGGTGGTGCTGAATACCTTTGGGCTCCTGGGTATCCATAGTTGCCTGAGTGTGGGGATACAGGATAAGGACCCATAAACACAGCAGGGGGAGGGAAGCTATTGTTGCCTGGACCCCCAATAGCCTTCGATGGATAGGGATCCATGGACGCCGCAGGGGGAGGGAAGCCTGTGTTGCTTGGGCCCCCAGCAGCCCCAGCATGATAGGGGCCCCCAGCAACACTAGGCTGAAAGCCACGAGCGAGGTCTGGAGGAATAATGACCACAGGGAACTTTATCTCTGGATCGAAAGCGAAGCTGATGTCCAGATACGCCTGAGAAAAAAAAACATGACAGCCTCATAAGCAACCTGTGCTTTTCTTCCAAAATAGAACAGCAAGGAAACATGTGACAGTCACAAGGAATTTGGAAAATCTTTTATCAATATGTATGGGTCATCAGTTTAACAAAATCAGTTCAAAAATCGCTTTGTCAATGTTACATACCATTAGATGGTACTCCACTGAGATTATGTCACAATTCTGGATCGTTGGCATCTGAACACGAGGAATCTGTATTTCGCACCTGACATCCCTCTCTGTTCGGGGCTTAATACAGTTGTCAACCACTTTGTGGATAACGCTGCTCGCATGTTTGGTACTGCTTTTGGCACGGTACACCACATCCTGGATTAAACTGAATTTTGGTATCATGTCCTTGGATGAGGAATTGTTGATTTTTGCAACAATCGCCATAGTTTCACCTATGAGGAAAAATAAATAAATAATATTCATTTTATTTTAAATCAAGTGCCACATAGGACAACACAGTGTGCTCCAGTGTGTGTATTTTATAAAGGCAAATTAGTACGCCTGACAGACAAAACTTACCCGCGTTAAATCAACAGTGCTGAAATGCTAAACCCACCTACTTATTGTTCCATGCATGTATATTTAAAAGCAGTCTGACCAAGACTGGAAATAACACAGTGACTATGATGTTCAGTAATGGTATTAATCTTTTAATGGCTTTAATCATACTAACCCCCTAAAATGCTACTTAAATTTCCATTTACTCTTCTTTTCATGCTTTACTTAAACCATCACTGACAACAAACCATTACAGGTGTTAGCCAGTAGGCACACTTACCAGGGCACTGGAATGGACACATCTAAATACTACTAATGTTACAGAAGTGCGTCTCCTGCAATGACATGTCAAAAAGACTGTACGGTGCATCCAATTTCTTTCTTGTTGACAAAAGCAAGAAGTAGGATTAAACTATTCATGAACTATAATGTCAACAATATTCCAGTTCTGTTAAAATAGTTTGCTGTTTTGCATGGCTGTGGTATACCTACTATGAACAAAAGTAGTTTTCAGTATCTGCCTTCAGCAGAAGATGTCCTTCCGTGACTTGAACCTACCACGTTTGAAGAGAAATGTATACCTGGGGCATAGGCACTCTTGTCAACGATGACATCCATATGTACATGTCCTTTTGAGAAAAGTCCCATCTCTTTCTTTGTTGAACCAACCTGGCGCGACTAGAATGCAATAAAAAGGGAAAATAATTACATTTGATGCACTCTCATTATTTAGACAGTACAGTGCATGGGTTAAGCATTTCAGTTACAAAGCAGGGCAAAAATACCCAGCTCCACTGCACCTGCTGTCACTTATTACTGCTTACTGTGAAGTATGTCATGGTGAGCAGTTTTCACTGGAACCATTTCTACAGAAGAAATACTATCTATGAATGCTATCGACAACAATGTCTGTAAATGATCCAAAGTCACTGGGACACTGTTTTGTTTGTGTTTATAATGCAATTTGAGCAGCACAGATTGATATGCAAATCCTGACAGGTCTTTTCTCACAGCCAATGTTTTGACTTGTTATAGCAGGAATAGCCGATGTGAAGCTAACACCGTTCATGGTGGCTCTGTATATGTAAGCATGCCGGTAAGCCAAACCAGTGAGCGAGCATGCACAACTGACACCTCAAAATGGAATGTAAACATCAGCATTAGTGTTATTATTAACTGTGCTTTAGAAATGTTAAAATGCCTGCTGTGAAAAAGGCCTATCAAAAACTGTATAATACCTACATTTGTCTGTTTCAATAGTCCATTTCTATTTTTTAGCAACACAACCCATGAGAAGTGCTGCCTCCAAGAAAAGGCCTGCTGGCACTGACTGTAACATCACATTACAAAGTCTCTACATACTATACGGTGGAATAAAGGTGTATAGTTTCTGTCTAGTGACTTACAGTATCAGAGATTTATACGTTTCAATATTGTACACACCATCAGAGAAACAAGGTTCGGATAGGACTTGGAGACAAAATGTATGTCCTTTTCTACTGTTCGGTCCATCTTCCAACTCCTGGACAACTTGGCTTCCAACTTGTAGACAATCTTTCCATGATGTCCCTTGAAGGATGAAGGCATGCTTCTGTAATGAAAAACCAGCAGATTCATTTTATGTTATACTAAGTGAATTAGCATCAATAATTGGATTTGAATTAATAATCAATGAATAGAATGTGCAGGAGTAGGCTATTTGGTCCTGTTTGTGAAAATCCTTTACATTGTGAAAGTGCAAACATTGTGTTTTGGTAAATGTCTCACTGTACTTACCCTGGTGGTATGTCTAAGCTGAAGTTGTAGATATGGATTCCTTGGGGAACTACAGTTTCTGAAAGTGCAAGGATTTGGTGTTAATACTAACAAAGGTCGACTGCCAACACGTGCTACTTTAAATAGGAATTAATATGGTGGTGGAAAGTAACACTTGCACTATATTACATTGTAATACTTCTACCCCACTGCACTTCATTTCAATATTGTACAATATGTCATCTGCATTACTGTGAGTAAAAAAAACAACAATCCATATTTATGTAAAATGTAGGGTAACCTATGCCAGAGAGCTGCTTCTATGACTGTTGTGGTAAAGTATCTTATTTTTTTGAATTTCGGAGTCAACTTAATTGCCTTTTTTCTTTTCTTTTTACACAGGTAACAGCTATGAGCATTTTGCCTTATCATGCCATGACTATCACTGGGCACTAAGACAATGGTAAAGTGCATAAAGCGAACTAGGGAAGGAAACAACATAGCAGGCCTATACCATGCCAGGAAGTAATAAAAAGGTGAAGGCATGCATAACTAACAAGAAGTCTGCATCTTACCCCTAGAGTCCTCCGGGATCAAAAACTGTTTCAGCTTAAAATATCTCGTGTGTGCCTGGTATGTATGGGTGTGATCGCCACTCTTTTTCGTCCAACGGACGTTGGCGTCTCCTTTGGCTTTCACAAACAGGCTCTCCACGGAGGTCTCTTTATACAAGGCCAGTGTTACTTTCCCAGTGAGCGTGTCTCCCTCCGAAAACGTGCCATACTCGTTCAGCGCGTCGTAAGTTATCGTTAAGCTTTGAATTGCAGGCATTGTAAAGACTAAACTGGTTAAATGAATGGACACAACATACAATCCACCCTGCCCATGTTCAGACGCGACCACCCCGTCTTTCTTTGACTAAAAGGGCACTCCGTCCCCACCGGTGGCGCCTGGGCGTATTGAGGAGGACACGCCTTATGAATGTCTTCTCAAATACCTCTACTGCCATCTGATGGACAAAGGAGAGACCGTGGGCTCAGTGCAGACCACTCTGTGCAAAAGCGCATTGCAATCGTTCCAAAATAATGGCACCGAAATCGAGCCCCCTGGCGGTCAATCATAGGGACATGGAAGTGCGTTGTAGTAAGTAAACTGCGAACAGTATACAGCGAAGATTAGTGTACCTGCTCTTGCGTGGTCTCATGATGTTTTTCTCTGTCATGATGCACCACAAGGTATGTGAAAGACCTTGATCACATTACACATATTCAGTGGACTTAAAATGATTCAAACCGCAGTCTCAAATAGCATATATTTTTATTCTGATTATATTTACCACAACATTACATAAAATATTGAAATAACAAACATTTCACAGCCATTAAAAAGCCAACAAAGAACTGAAGTTCCCTTTTTGCCTGCAACCACTACTGAAAACCCAGGAAAACCATATCCCATGGTTTACACCTGGTCAACTTAGAGCTTTGCATGTAGAAGAGAACAAGTTGAGGTAAAAGGCATTGCCATGAATGAAAGAAAGTATGTGATAAAAGTAAGGAACCTGAGTAAAAATAAGTTTTGACTAAACTAAAACAAAGTATTTTTTCCGCACGACAGTGAAATCACTGAGGGGCACAGATATGTCATTTTGGTACATGACAACACACACTGTACATATGAACTACTTTTACACATTTAACTCAAAAGTAAATGCTAAACAGTAGCAGGAATGCAGGTTTATGTTTGAAAACAGAAAATATGCCACAATATGAATAGCTCAAATGCCCTCATCATCTGTCAGTATTTTTTAAGTCAAGATTATCTGTTCCATTAGAAGCTCAGCTTTTGTGATCTGACCCAGTCCTACCGAGTGTCCTGAGAAGGGGAGAAAGGGGACATATACGGTGGAGGTTCTTGTCCCTGTTGAAACAGAGGAGGAGCAGTAGGGGCTTGAGGCTGCACTGAGGATGACGCTGCAGTTGGAAACCCGTATGGAGCAGCCTGTTGAGGCCACTGATTATTATATCCACTTGATATGTTTGCATATTGAGTGGGATCTGGTGCTGGGTAGCCATAAGCACCTGAACCTGCAGGTACAGGATAAGGTCCAATCGGGAAGGCGGGGGGAGGGAAGTCGCTGTAACTTGGGGCCCCAACAGCCCCAGCTGGGTAAGGACCCACAGCCCCACCTGGGTAAGGCCCTACAGACCCAGCTGGGTAAGGACCCCCAGCCCCA